AGAGAGAGAGAGAGAGAGAGAGAGAGAGAGAGAGAGAGAGAGAAGTTAGAGAATACATTAATAATGCAAGCAAAGCAACAAATCATGAAGAATGCTCTCATAGCTTTGAAGACAATAACAAGTCTCTTATAGTAGCTTTGAAGACATGTAACATAAATCGACTAGATTATTGTAGTTGCTTTTAAACATAGAAAAACGTTGACCATTTTAAATATCCCATATACAATGATGATGATTCACACACCTCGTTCTTATATGCTTCCAGCTGACATCTTAGACTATCGTTCTCCTCTTTTAGAGTCTGCAGTCTTTCGGCGTCCTCGTTGCCATCAGACGGATTGCGGCCTTTTTTACGCTGCGGCTCCTCTTCCGAGTCCGACACGTCCATCTCGCCCTCGCCCTCCATCAGACTGTCTTCCAGCTGCATCGCCTTTATTTCCTGCCATTACGAATAGTGAAAAATACAAAGTGCCTTGATCTGCGTTCACCGTTGTCTCACACAAATGCATGCAGAGAGTATGTAGTTTCGGCTTTTGCTCGAACAACGATTACTCTCGGATACATATTCCTGAAGGTGCTTCAGGCCCGCTCTATTGTTGCGAATTGTTGTTCAGCATGTTGCTCTCTTTTCTTTCTTTTTTTTTTTTTATGTACACACGTAGAACGAAACGTGTAAATTTCTGTAGTTCAGAGTTGAGGCGAGACGCAAGATGCCGCGTCCAATTTCCCGTCGCGGTTTTCGGAAGCGGAAGCGTTTCTCCCCGGGATTCGCGTCTCGTTTCTCTTCGCAGCGCTTTGGGCTTACCTGAGCGTGAGCAAGAGTGGATGCGGCTCTGAAGTACAGAAATAGTGGATATCGCATATATAAATTCATCGAGTAACGCCGTTTCAGGAAAACGAGACGTATGTGCCTCATTTGCGAATCCATGCTGGATACTAGTAGTCCGTGGTCGTCTTTCGGTCACCCGAAATCGCCACTATTCTCGCATTTACCTTCTGTTCCGTATGTTGTTCATAATGTTGTGCGTGTTGCCGAACAGGACACATTACGTCTGCCATACCGTGACGGTAAGAAGGGTAAAATCGAATTCGTTTACGCACGAGAAGCGTATGTGTCTGACCGTATATTCTTTTTTATTTTGCAGGCGAATGGGCTCCTTCTTTTTCTCACTTACCTGTGACACCTTAGTAATACTATTCGCAAAACACGAGAGAGAGAGAGAGAGAGAGAGAGAGACAAAGAGAAAAAGGGGAGGAAAGGTGTTGGTCGGTAGTATCGTGCAAAATGTATGCATGGATGAGCAAATTGCGACTTCAAGATAAGACTTCTGAGATAATGTTGCTTTAAAGCTCCTGGCTCTTCGCCGCGGAACTCTTGATGATGACGTCGGAGGCAAGAAAATGCACGCTAAAAATTCTTGTAAAATACGTTGAAATAAAAAAATGCATTCATAAAATGACATTTGCAATCGGTAGAGAAAAAGTGGAAGCGTGAAAGAATAGAGTAGACATGTAAAATAGTCTGAACATTTTCCTTTTATTCAGACTATCAATACATAATCGTAAAATTAATGTGACACACAATCTTCCTCTTTAGCTTATGATTACTTTCTCTTATGATTTTTTCACATTAATTTTACGGTTATTTATTGATTATTAAAATAAAAAGAAAGTTCGGACTATATATATTTTATGCGTCTGCTCGAGAGATTGATTGCAAGTATCATTTTGTAAACATATTTTATATCAATGTATTTTGCAATTTTTAACATTTATTGTTCGCTTATTATTTTATTATTCGCTTTCGGTATCATCAATCAAGATGACCGCAGCAAGGGATCGGGAGCTTTAAACTATAAGAGAATAGAGAGAAAAATGTACTTATGTAAATGTAAATGTGTATGAAAAAATGAGAGAGAAAGAGAGAGATAGATAGAGACAGAAGAGACACGCTACCAGCATGTGGGAGTGCCGTATACATACATACCGAGGATTGCTTCTTCCACATCTCGATGTTCTTCCGCTGTGCCTTAGTGAAGTGATCCCAGACCTTCTTGTGGCTGGCCGCAGTAAAGACTCGTTCGATCTGACTGACTGTTGATGACATGGGCGCATGTTGCATACAAAAACACAACAAATCCTCCGTTGTATACCTTTGCTTGAATTGAAACTCTACGCTCGTAGTTTCGTCTATGCTCTTTTTATACTCTTTACTCGTCATACTCGCGTCACTTGTATCGTAATTTCTTTTTTCAACACATTTAGATATCGTGACTGATCCCCGCTCCCCGTGAACACACTCGAGATCCTCCTCGTCTTTACTAATCCGGGCCGTGTTTCGTGTGTACCGGCTATGTACAGCTACGAATAGTCCCGAGTCTCTTACATGGATCGTGCCGAGTGTGTGCCGTGGCGCATCTAAACTAACGTAAACTTGCTTTTCACCAAACATTCCGCTCTCATTGCTCGCCTTTTCACCTCTTACTGCGGAAACGTAACCCCCGAAGACTTGCAATATATCGCAGACTTCCGACGCTAAGGACCATCTTGAACGACAACCTTGGTTCCCAGGCAAATTCACTTTGTCAGTTCTGCTTCTTCATTTTGTTTAGCGCTCATCGCGCGAGACACTAGACAAGTGAATCCGTAAATGAATAGATAGAGAGAATCGCTCAAGGTGGGATCTGAAGCCGCAGTTCAAAATGGTAGCTTAACAATGAAAGTCCAGCCCATCACCCTTAATCCTTAGCATTGCCAAGCATGCAGTTTTCAAGTACACTATGGCTCTATGAGACAGAATTTGCTCGATAAACCGCCTTCATTCATTGGTTTTCTTGAGTCCTAAGTCCGAGAGACAGGATTTTTCACCCACCTTATCCTCGCCTACTATCATTGATCCTTCCTACCGAGCCGCTTCCAATCGTGCATTGACCATAAACAGAATTCATATGACGAACTCGCTATGATACACTTGAGAGATTGCGAAAGTTAGTGACGAGAGACAGACAGGTACTTCGTCGTATCAGAGTGGGCTTCGATTGTTCCTTTTGTTCACGTCAAGCGTATCATCGGAAATGCAAAAGCCGTTTTTATCGTCGAGATATCATACGTCAAGATTGACAAGCTTGAAGTTCGAATTGATTTTTGTACCTTATGTTATCGGTCGCTGTACCTTAATGTCATGAATCGTTACTTTTTATTATCACGTGACAATGCAACATACCTTCGTCAACTGGTATAAGAACAAAATCTCTGCTTTTTATCGGAACACGACACATGGCACGAAGATTCGTCGTACACACGGTGAGGAACTTGGCGACAACACGCCGTGTCGCCGTCTAACACGATCACGATTGAGATAATCACGATTTTTCGTTGTGTTTGTTCTATCCAAATAAGGAGGAGAGACGATTTCCCCATTTTGCTGAGTCTATTTATGCCAAGGTGAACTTACCAGCCAATGCGATACGTGTGCGGATTTTCTTCGCGCACACAAAATATGTACGATATGAATGGAGCTATCAGAGACAGAATGAGTAAGAAAAATGTGTAGACGTACATTGTATGAGGAGTCCCTGCATTCGTCCTTTCATTAGTTCCTTGGCCTTCTGCAGCTCCTCCTCGTAAGCAGCCTTCTCCGTCAGCAGTCGCCGCACGTGGGAATTTGTCGACTGTATCATCGAGTAGAAAATGTTGGCGTTACGTTTCGTGCAATCTCCTCGTTCTAACCATGTTACGACCACCTGCGAATATTATCTCTAAATGATGGTATCAAATATGGGAAGTTATTCAACGAAAGCTAAAGTTAATGTTTCCTTAAGAATTCAAGAATTCTCTGTTTATTGCAATGATTACTCACTTGTACCGCTTTCATAAATGTGTCATCCTGCTTAATTTTTTCACAGGTATTTGATGCCTCATGATCTGTGTAGTGCACCACTGGGGGTGGACTCGATGGCGGCCTTTGTCTTTCCTTTTCCACTCTTTCTCTGTGACGCTGTTCTCTTTGCAGCTGCCGTTGCCTACATTCCCACTCATACTGATCATCTCTAGCCTATACATAGACATAAATCATTTTACAGGGTTGGCAAAAAGTCCGGAAACGGTCAAATATCTCGAAAAGGATCAACTGTAGCGAAAAATATGTAAGTAACAAAGTTGTAGGGCTTAATAAAATGTACCTAATGATGACTAAAAATTTTACTTTGGGTGGAGGACGAAGGTCAAATTAAATTTTTTAAATTGGACCCCCACTTTTTATTACATATTCTTGTAGCTTATTTCAAGGGCTTTTCAAAAACCTATAATAAAGTATTTTTTTTATTAGGCATATTTAGAATTATATGGCTTGAAAGGATTTTGGTCTTTAACTGTTTCTGTTTCGTAAAAACGTATCACTGTCTTCTGAACGGTGGATTTAGAAATAAAATTG